GAGATGTCACATCCACTGATTTTTTTTTTGTTTTTTAACAATATCAGATTTTTAAAATTTTTTCCAATACAGTAGTCCCTCGTTTATCGTGGGGGATCCGTACCCTGAAGACCCGCGATAAGTGAAAAACCGCCAAGTAGGAATTGTAGTACAAGTGGTAAGAAGTTGTATATTTTAGTATATATATATATATATATATATATATATATATATATAAATAAAGGCATTTTAAACCCTTCTCACACTTTTGCAATATTTTACACAATGTTTCTAAACTCTAAACGCTCTAAAAGAGCACAGAATGTCATGATTTCAGCTCCCTGTCTCCTCTGTTCTTTGCCGCCTGCAAGCGCTCTTGGCCACGCTCACTTTTCAGCTCTGCACGCAGAACAGCTGATCAGCTGCAGCAGGAAGTTTATCTTGCAGTGGCTGCACAAAGCTGCAAGAGGAAGCTTTTTTTGCAGCTCTGGGCTGCACAAGGTGCAGCAGGTGCTAAATAATTTTAAATCATTTATTTTAAATAAAAATTCCATGACGATCGAGCCATCAGTCAGCCAGTTGTGTGTCATGTCCAATCTTATTTGAAAAACCGTGATAGAGCGAGTCTGCGATAAACAAACTGCCAAGTAGCGAGAGACTACTGTACTGTACCTTGTTTAAAGACTGAATCATTTAGCCATTTATAAAGTGAGTTGTTAAAACGTACACATTTCAGAAATGCTGACTAGAAGGGAAGAATAAAAAGTAGAGTAGTACAGCTGGGGTTTCACTGACGATCAGGGGGTTGTAGGTTTAGGTATCAGAGAGGACGTTCTCTCTTCACCTAGTCCGGTCACCATGACAACAGAGGCTGAAATCATCACTGGCTCCAGAGCACTTTGTGAGTTCAGTTTGAGCTCCATCTGTTCATCAGTTCTTTTCTTAATGAGATCTCAGACAGAAACATCAGAGTTTAACATTTAATTAACTTTCTAATCCATCCATCCATCCATCATCTTTACCCGTTTCTTGCTTTTTGGGTTACGGGGGTCACTGATGCCTTTATGTAGAAGTCACTGGGCGAGGGACACTCTGGACAGGTCTCCAGTCCATCACAGGACATGTCATCATGACTATACATATAATTATGCACCGTGCTCTGACATTAAATAAACATCAGGTTGTCAAACAACAGAACATTAAATATCTCATTGTCATCCAAAAGGTCAGTGCATCACATTTAGATAGTAAATGAATAATAATGTTGGTATTTGACGACCACCACACATCATTTATTAAAGGTTACATTTTCATTGAGGTTAATCTTTGAGTTTATTACAGTTTTGATCAGAGAAACGTATGAATGAGTTCACTGCTAGACATCAGCTGCCTGTGGCCCTGCAGGACCAAAGACAATCAATTAACAAATGAATATTAATAATACGACGCAAGTTTACAGACTGCAATCTGAAATAAAACTATCACGCTTGATCTAAACTCAGCAATTAAAAATAAATAAATTCACAACTCACAAAAGAAAACAAAACTTGTTTGAAAAGGAAGAAGCAGGTAAAGAGGATGGATGGATGGATGGATGGATGGATGTGTGGCTGTGTGTGTACATGTTTTTCCCTCAAAAATAAAAGCAGATTTGTCTTTTTGAATTCTTCCCTCTCTTTTCAGAGAACAACAAGGACATTTCTTTTGTTTGTGTTAATCTGTTCATTAGTGTGTGGCTCATTAACAAACACACAGACTCCATTTATATTTGTTATTTTTACTTTCAAGTGTATCCAATCCAGAACCCTGGCAGTGTTACAGTTCTACAGTTTACCTGTTGGGTGAAAAGTCTCAAATCTTTAGGACAAGCTGTAGTTTTTAACAGATGCTTCACAGAACGTTAAACTTTCTGTAACATAACTGCTGCTCTGATCATGAATTATTTCAATACTTACCATAAAGGGAGGGATTTTTTTTACAACATTGTAAGACTGATTATTTTCATTTAATTCTAAAATTTTTTATTTTTAATAAGCATGTCAAACACTTTTTTTTTTTCCTGCTTGCTCTTGACGAAGGCGGATGCTTTTCCCTCCAGCTCCTGCTTCCCTCCTGCTTTGCTCCTCCCACCCCTACCTGCTCCATTCCCGAGGACATCTGTGGACCTGTGTCAGAGCTGAGCCGGCTGATAGAAACTGCACCATCTCTTATCAGGACTATGGAATTTTCTGGCAGTGTCCACGGACAACTCACCGCCTTCATCAGCCTCCTCATGCATATGTATTATAATGTCATCAGTATGTTGCTGTTTCTATACTGAGGTTTTTTTTCCAACTTTCACACTGTGTCCCAGGTACGACACAGTGTGAGATATGATGTTTATACACCTCCCCTCATGTTTCTCTTTTCCTCATCTAAACGTAAAGGGCAGCGCCTCCCAAGGCCGCGGCCTCAGACACCTCCGTCTTCCCATGTCTGTTTGTTTTACTTGGACGGGCTGTACTGAAATGTAATTTTGTTGTGTTTCGGTTGTTGGCTGAAGACAGGATTTAGACAGAACAAACAAACTTAAGGTCCCGAACAGCAGAGGGAAGGTGGCCTCCACTTGAAACCAAGGCAGAGAATGTGTGTTTTGTAACTTAATTTCATTAATTTGCTTGTTGTTGTCTTGTGTTTGCCTTCAGTAGTAGGTTTGAGAGGCCGTACAATGACCATCCTGCCCACATCGAGGTGGCACTCGCTCAGGAAACCCACCCAGCAGGGGCGATTCTAGAATCTGACATTTAGGAACACTTAGCCTCCATTGTTGACTATGGTTCTTGGCTTGAACAACACGGTGGCCATTGGCATTAGAAGCATTTGCAAAGTGTGTGTGTGTGTGTGTGTGTGTGTGTGTGTGTGTGGGGGGGGGGGGTGTAACTGGGGTCTGCGGGTCCTCCCCCAGAAAATTTTGAACAAAGTGGATACCATTTCCTACATTCTGGTGTATTTTAACGGGTTGTTTAACATCTATGTTTCCCTCCATAAGTAAACACTTGATTCAATAACTATTTTAGAGAGCACGGCACAACAAGAAGTAGCGCTAAGCTAGTGGTGCGCAATACAGACGTGCTAGCTAAGATGCTACAGACGTAGCACTCCACTTTACATCACACAAACCTAATAAACACTTTGTACAACATCAGTTTAGTTTTAACTGATCATAACAAGGGCAGCACGGTAGAGCTGCTGCCTCTCAGCGAGCAGGTCCTTGGTTCAAACCCCGGTCCAGGGGCCTTTCTGGGTGGAGTTTGCATGTTCTCTCCGTGCATGCGTGGGTTTTCTCCGGGTACTCCGGTTTCCTCCCACATACCAAAAACATGCATGTTAGGCTGATTGGTAACTCTAAATTGTCCCTAGGTGTGAGTGAGAGAGTGAATGTTTGTTTGTCTCGTTTGTCTCTATGTGGCCCTGTGATGGACTTGCGACCTGTCCAGGGTGTCCCCCGCCCCTCGCACAGTGATTGCTGGACATGGGCACCAGCGACCCCCGTGACCCAAAATGGAACAAGCGGGTAAAGAAAATGGATGGATGGATGGATGGATGATCATAACAAACAAGACTAAACTTATGCAACCAGAAGTTACAACACATATCTACATATAAAACACACAAAACAAAATACAACTGACTTTAAGCATTAACCTTTAAATTAACCATTAAACATACAATGTAATTATGACAGAAAATGGAGGATTTGCCTGCAGTTACCTCCATACAGGTGAACATGTACTTCCTGTTTATAACTGTTGCATTCAGCTGCTCATGAGGTATTATTATTATTATTATTATTATTATTATTATTATTATTATTATATATAACTGAGGTCACTGATTGGTCAGTTGCTGACCAGCCTGCTGGACTGATTGACAAGAGTTGTTGAGGATCTGATTCATGTAAAAAAAATCATAGATTTTACTGGTCCGTTTAAGAGTGTCATCCATCCATCCATCCATCCATCCATCCACCCACCCGCCCACCCATCCATCCATCCATCCATCCATCCATCCCTGCTTCTTCCTTTTCAGGTCACGGGGGTCACTGGTGTCCATATCCAGCAGTCACTGTGCGAGAGGTGGGGGGACACCTGGACAGGTCTCTAGTCCATCACAGGAAGTGTCATCATTTATTCCAAATGTATTCAATATTTTGGTGAATCTAAGGTTTGAGAAATAAGTTTCCTTACAAAATCATAATGATGGTTTCTTAATTTTCAGGGGTGCTGAGTTAAAAGGGGTGCTTGAGCACACTGCCATCCAGACCATGCAGACCCAGGCTGAGTCGAAGGGAGTCATGATGAAACCAGACTGGACGATGGAACATCATACACTGAGTTTTTAAAATGTTGGATATCTGTTGGGTACGCTGATGCTGATATAATAAACTAGTTTCTGCTCTTTTTGTACAGATATTTGCAGACATGTTGTTGGTTAAATCTACACGTGTGGCTTGTTGTGATGTTCTTTATGGAACAAACAACAACAACAAACAAAGTGTGGGTCTCTGCTAGATAGCCACCTGTGAAACCACAGATACGCTGCAGCAAAAACAAAATGACGCTCGGACAAAAATAACGAGAATTGAACGCAGCGTAAGCCACGTTTGTCCTGTTACGCCCTTCAACCCAAAACATTTTGAAGATATGTATCACGAGCACAACATGTCTGTGATCGTCATCACAAGACGGGCTTTAATTCTTCCTGTTTGAGTTGTGAAAAAATAATTCAAAACACATCATCAGACGTGACAAAATATAAGACAGTTGAGCAACTTCTCAGTTTGCATGTTTGCGCTGGGTTTGAGTTTTAAATTTATTCTGAAAGATTGACAGGAACGCTGCTGAAAACTTTTAAATTACTACTAAATAATGCAACGTTTCACAAAAAGAAAAAGCCTTTTCTAAAACTGTGAAGTCTTCAGTCTGCAAATCCCTGGCCTCTGCAGCCGCTGCAGTAATTCCACACACACAGAGGATACTCACAGCTCTGGAGTTCCTGGCCTCTTTGAGGATCTGTCTGGCTGTCTGGACCTCCTCTACGTCCTCAGAACCTTTCAGGACGCAGACCTGCTGCTGCACCCGCACACACAGACGCTCCATCACCTGCAGGCGGCGACACATTTAAATTAAAGAACAAGCTCTTGTTGAAAAGAGAAATCATTGACTCTCTCTCTCTTACACACACACATTCTTGTATTTACTACATAGTGAGGAAAAAAAAAAAAAGACCAGCAGAGTGAGGACCATACACCGTCCCGTCCCATCCCGACACCCCCCCCCCCCCCCCCCACACACACACACCCACCTGTTCAGCTGTGCTGGTGACAAGGCCCTGGTGGAGCCTGAGAGCCTGTTTCTGAGAGAAACGCTGAGTCTGGTTGTTCCTCAGCAGCGCACGCTGGATCTGTCTCACACGCACATGCACGCACGCACACAAACGGAGAGAGAGAGAAAAGAACAAAGAGAAGACAGGTGTTTACAAAGTGCAGCTCAGGAGACAGAAGGCGAGTCCATTTGCATGTTAATAATAAAAGCAGCAGATCTGCTGAGACAGAGGACTGATGAGTGTTCTCGACTCAGCAGGTGGAAACATCGCTGCACCCTCACGTCCTACAAAGATGGAGCCAGACGTTACTGCACTTCACTAACATTTGGACTGATTGTAACTTTCTGTATCTGGACAGGGTTGTCCACAATTCATCATCAAAATCATTTAATAATAGAAGTATTAATTCCATTCAGCACTGATTTTTTCATGTTGCCACCAGCAGCACCATCTCCCGCTGCTCCAGCTGTTGCACATTAGACAAGTGCACGGTGGTCCCCTCACCATCCAACCTGAGCTGCTTCATCAACATCAGCTGATTTAGCATCTTTTTTATCCGATCCAACAAAGTTAAGTCAGGTCCTCTGGACAGTTTCTTTTTGTTGAAATGTTTCGTCTTTCATCCAAAGGACTTCATCAGTCCGAGGAGCCACAACACACTCTGTCAAACTCAGTACCATACACAGCCACAACATCCTGGTACCTCCTCGTGCTGTTTATTACCTTGGTCGCACTCTGTTGTGGCAGAGCACTCCATTGTTTAACCAACCTGTGGCATAAATCAGCCACTGTGGATGTGTCAGTCACTGTGGAAATAAAGAAAGCTGACTGAAGCTAACCCAAGCTGATTCAAGAAGTGGTCAAGAGGGTTGAAGCACTGCAGACAGACAAATCCATCTTCTCTACTCCCAAAGCCTGGAAGTACTTTCTGATAAAGCTCGCTCTGTGGGGACAGGCATTGTCTTTTGGAGGACAGCGACAGAGCGTGGAGACATGATTCCTCAATGGTTCTGAGAATCAGGTACCAATAAGACACTTGAGTGTCAGCACCTGGACTACCAGAAGTTCCAAAATGTGCCTTCAGTACACATTAGAGTTGCATTCAGGCCTAAAACATCTGATCCGACCCGGCCCCAGCCCGCAGTCATCATTTCCAAACCCCACCCAACCGGATGAATTAACAGTAATTACAGGTCCGAACACGAAAAAAACAACATTTTTAATTAGTTATTAACAGTCGGGGACGCGCAGCTGAATAAACGCGGCAGAAGATTCGGAGCTGAGAGGTGTTTGTACTTTCATGGCCATAAAAAACATTTAAACCCCATTTCTACCTGCATTCTACTGAACTACTGAGACACGCAGACCGCTCTGACACACGCGTCTGCTTTGAGATCTCACCTGTTCGGGTCGTCAACCGCGTGAGTCCGCTGAGTGCAGCGGCAGAATGAACGTCCATTTGGGCGATGGATCGCTACCTGGCAGTTCAGTCCCATCTGAAGCTTAACTGAACTTTTTACCTCTTTCAAGGCCGGTCAGCTTGCGGTGAAATGGCTGCGTGCAGCTGGTGGATGTATGGCAGGCCATGTCATCATATAATTGGATCACGGCTGATCCTGACCTAATTAAAAGCCCAAGACTGGCCCAGCCCGCCCATTAATCACATTGTAACGGCCCGGCACTAATCCAAGTTGGTCCGGGCTGGGTTTCGGGTTAGAAATGACAGATCTAGTACACATGTATATGTATACATATACAGTAATCCCTCGCTATTTTTCAATTTGTTTATCGCGGTTTTCAAAGAAGGATTGGGCATGACAAAATTGGCTGATTGATGGATGAGCCATGGGTTGTTTACTTAATATAAATTATTTTAAATGATTTTGCACCATGTGTGCAGCCCATAAGTGAAGGGGAGGCTCCCTCCTGCAGCTGATCAGCTGATCTCCTTTTCTGCCATGCACACATTTCTCCTGCTGCAAGAATGTGAAGAGTTAACCATTTGCTGTCCAGATGCACCGATTGACTTTTGTCTTCCAACTTAAAATTCAACGTATGTCACATGGTAAAAATCATCATAATCACAAAATATAAAAGTTGATCTGTGCATCTGGACAGCAAAGGGTATGTTTAAGTATTTCAGAACTTCTATGTTCAGCTGTTACAGTGTAATTGATCAAGAAATACATTTCTTCTCCGTGCTGCAGAGCTTCATGAAAGGTTAACCCTTTGATGTCCTGCTGCACTTCTCTCCTCTACAATTTGCAATAACTTTCTTTGTTGCATAAACAATCCATGCTGAATGGATTGTTGATTTAAAATTTTACATGATTTAAATTTAAATAGTTTATTTAAGGAGGGAGATTGGGAGTAACAGGTGATGAATGATTGCAGCCTGGCACATGTCATGACAAAGTTTACTGAACTTGAACTTAGATTACTGTGTATATATATATATATATATATATATATATCTATATATACATATATACACATATTTGTGTATAAGAGCGTAAGTCCACGCTCACCTTGGCCAAGGCTTGCTCAGTCTTCTCTGGTGCGCTGCGATATGCCTGAGTGATGTCACAAAGGGGCAGGGGCATGTACTGCAGGGTAAAGTTGCTATTTGTTGGAGAGAGGTAAAGAGCAGGAAACATACAGTTAATACACTGCATTGATAAACAGGAAGAATCTTGATGTTAACTAGAACAAACAAGTAATGCTCAAAGCTTCTATAAACAGATGTGTCCAATTCCCAAACACACACACACACACACAGACACTTCTACACATCGATACGAGTACAAACTTCACAGACACACACATTTGACTGGCGCATACATCAGACACGCCTGATGAAATGCCATGAAATGAAAACACTTCAGAGAGATGGTTATCTGCCTTTTGTAAGGCTGTGTGTGTGTGTGTGTGTGTGTGTGTGTGTGTGTGTGTGTGTGTG